ATTTTGGCAACTGGGTTGCTGCTGTATGGTAAGAAGGAAATTTTATTTAATGCTGTGGTTAGGTTAGCTGAAGCACTGGTTTTTAATGTATCATGAAAGAAGACCAAATATCCATTAAATTAGTGGTAGGTAGAGAGAAAGAGAAATTATTAGGTAAAAATATGAAGTATTCAACTATCAAGCCACTAATCAAATGTCATATTCTTTCTGAAGTCTTTTCTAGCCATTCTGACTTTTGTGTTTGTTCTCCCATAGCACTTGGACTGTTCCCTTGTTATAGCAATGACCACATTGCATTAGAGTTTTTTGTTTATATAACTGTTCCCCCTGCACAATTATGGTCTTGTAGAAGACAAAGGTAATATTTTACATATTGTATCCCTAGCACCTAGCGGGGTCTGATGGGTGATTGATCATTGATTGTTGGATGATGGAAACACGGAGATGTAAGAGAATTGGAAAATATTCTCAAATGGGTGTATTCTAAATAGCATGTATCCTAAATTAGCTATTTTAGGCAAAACAGACAATATGGAAATGTGTTCCTCATTTTATAGCAGATGAAGAAGTGTGTCATAGAGAAGTTCAGTGACTTCCTCAAGTGACACAGCTGACTAAGGCACGAAGCCAGGTTCAGCATGCAGATGTCCTAATTCTCAGTTCCATGTTCTTTCCAATGCACCTCAGTGTAATCCACTTTAGAATAATGGATGAATATGATATTTTTCTGACTGTATGGAGAAGACACCCAGCAATATAAACTTCCTTTATGTTATGATGTATGTTGATTCCTTCTGGCATATTTTAGAATACTGCGAGTGGAGAAATGCTTTACAGTCAATGTTAAGATTCGTGGTATCATGGGCCTTGACAGAGAAGATCAAAGAACTGAATCTTCTCAGGGGAAGACTTTATAAGAAAGATAATGTTTTAGTGTTAATGTCACATAATAATAAATTTTATTAAGTGCCATATTTGGACAAATGTCATACCTATATTTATTTATACTTCTTATTTTTTGTGAGTTAATTAGATGAATAAACTCATCTAATACCGATAAAACTGCATTTGACCTATAGTGTAGCAAGTGCTCAATATTCTTGTTCCTCTTTTTTTCTTAACATAATGTTCTTCAAACAAATTTTTTTTTCTGTCCTGGAACATTCAGAAGAAGCAACTAAAGTGCTTGTTATGGTAGCTGGAAGAATCAGTTGACAATTTAAAAGAAGTTATTCTGCATAAAGGGAGGTTCCAGTAGACAGAATGGGACTAATATAAACCAACCAATGTATACTCTCGACAGGTTGCTGCACCAGGCTTTGATAATTAAGACTCCACTAGGTCTTAGAGAGGGGAAGATCCATTACGTAAATTTCTTTCTTTCTCTTTTCTTTTCCTTCCAAAAGCAGGCACCAGAAGAAGCCAGTGGAAGAGTGTCACAAGAGAACCAGGCAGTGTGCCTGTTTTCCCAGTAACTTAAAGGCATCAGGTAGATGTCATAGAAGCAAAAGAGACAAAACAAAACCAAAACCAAAAATAAACTTTTAATCTTCTGAGAACTGGGAAGTGACATCAGAGAATGGCACAAAAAGGGACAAAGGCAAAGAGCATGGGGAATGTGAAGGAGCACAAGTCCACAAATAAACTCCGTGGTCCCCATGGGTTTCAGTCTAGTCCGTCTTCCCTGTTTCCCATACAGATAGCTTCTATGCCCCTCAGTTTTTCCATTAATGAAAAGAAGGTGAATGACAAAAGAAGGTTCCTTGGTCTTTTGGAATAAGATAAGAAAAGTACCATTAGCGAAGATGTCCATTAATCTAACTATCACCCTAGTTCTAGCTTATGGTTTTAATTAGCATTATTTTCTTTGATGATTTTTGATTACCCTTACAGCCCCTAAGCACTTTGGCAGGGATACGGTGGGGAAAGTTACTGTAAATCAAATTATGAATTTTATTGCTCTAATTGGAGTAGAAATCCACGGCATCAATTAAATTCTCATTTCTTATTCTCCTGGTTCATGATCCTCATTCTAGGTGTGTATAAAGTCTCAGTGTGGTATAATGATGTAATTCCTTAAGCAGCAGTGCCCTGGTACATTAATAACATCCTGGTTAGGAGAGGCAGGAGTCTAAAACCATACTGGGAACAGCACCTCCGGGCATTGTGAGAACCTAAACTATGTCTTTTTCCTCCTTGTCTTTCCACATCACCTAGCTCAGGCCAAGGAACACAGAAGGAGTTTAAGTGGTTCCTATGGAGACACTGATGCTTGATCTCCCTTGTTATCTCCAAATTCAGTTGCTCATGGTCTGTCACAACTTGGTGGGTAGGTGGAAGTCCACAGTCAAGTTTCCAGTAGCA